TAAATCCTTCCCGATATACAATATTTGACCCTCTCTACATTATTAAAATGATAACTCCCGATATATTTGACCCTCTGTTATTAAAATTATAACTGGCAGTTCTTTCTTAAAAATCAATATATATATATATAACTTTTCATATTTCCTTTTGTGAGTCACACATTCCGTAAAAATACATAAATAACATATATTTATCAAGCAACATACCCATTATTTTACTTCCCTGCACACGTACATAACTCACTCTCTTCTTCCCCACAATAATTTTATTTCCTCTTATTGTTCACTCTCAAAACTTTTAATTGTTTTTAATAATTCAAGACTATTAACTGATAATTTAATAATGCTGTGTCTGCATGTCCGTTATTTGAGCCGAACCTGCAATTCGCTTAAATGTTGAAGATTTTTTTTCCATAATAAAAGTTAGGGTGAAGTATCCTGCTCAAACTAATTTTAATCCCACGAAACAAAGGATGCACTTGTCTTTCTCTTTGAATTTTATTTTCACTGAATTAAACTGATTAGATTTTTTTTTTCGTGTTCGGGTTATTTCCTTGAAAGTTATTACTTTATTTGCCAATGTGAACAAGCAAGGATTAGTTAGTTTTGTTGGACTGTAGACAGATCTCCGCTCTCTAAACGTGCGTTTTACTACTGGTTAGCTGAGCTTTACGGAGCTTGGTCAGCGCTAGGCAACCATTTGTTCTTGCTCGAACGCCAGCAATGTTTTCCTTTCTCTAGTTGTAGGACCTTACACTTTTAGACATCCCGGCGAGCTAGCGGCTACACAGATTTGTAATGGTCTCAATAGGATTTATTGGTACTGGTCTTTTTCCATGCTTATGAGATAGAAGAAAACAAACGGGAGTTCTCCTAAAGGATGCTCCACCGTTAATAAAAGGGCGGGGTCTCTTCGCATAGGGAAATTCGGAACTGTGAACTCTGAGCCGATGAAACTAGCTTCCTACCATAAGAACCATCATAATTGAGACACAGTTCATTTTTATAGCTCTTAACCAGATTTGAGAAACGATAAAGTTTTAAAAATATCCAGCTAGAGTAAAATATACTACTTTATATTTTTTTCCCGGAAAAATAATATTATATTTCATATGTAAAAGCCACTGCTCTATTATGCCATTTTCATCTTATACCGTTTTCGTTTGCATATTTTCATTTTTATTCTTCCAAGACTGACAATTTGTCACTTTAATTTTCGATTTCCTATTTTCCAACTCATTCGTTTTCAACTTTTTACGCGTAAGTTCCTAACATATTTATTCGACGCACTCTCTCCATGCAAAAGAAGAGTGCGACCACAAAAAAGTTTAGTCTCAAATTGCACATCAACATTTTCGGGTGAACATCCCCAAAGCACATGTGCGAATGCAATCATAGAAATACAAATCCTAAGGTGTGACATGAATTTGAGTTCGTATGCTTTGAGATATTGTAGAAGTAGCTAACGACTGTGGAAATCACGAGCTTTGGAAAAGCTTTGATCATAATTTCTTCGTCTAAAATAATTTTGTGACATCAAGAAACATGGAGGTACTAGATGTTTCAAAAATTGTCCGAAAGTGAAAAATTTTAAAAATGGAATCTTGCCTTGGATCGATTCTTTCGATTAATTTTTTCTGAAAAAAAAACCATTACAATTTAGTAGTTTGTCTGGGAACCATGAGGATAATATATTCTGCATAAATGGATGTTAAAAATGTTTTAATAGTACAACGTTACATTATCTAAAATTCATCCACAGTTCGACAGTCCATCTTATCAACGACAGTTACAACCATTATACGACTTAATGAATATTCCTCCATCATTACATCCTGAATAGTTTGAACCTAAATAAAGTTTGTAACACCCTTAAGGAAGCATCGCATACTCTATAAAGTATATATATATACAAGTATATTCAAGTATATATATGTTAAATGATCAGCATGACGAGCTGAGTTGATTGTCTGTGTTCGTCTGTGTGTATATACAAGAACAAGTCCCTCACTTTTTGAGTTATTGATCTCAAATTTTGCACACATAATTTTCTCTCCAAGAAGGTCATTTCTTGGAACCGCTGATATCGGACTATTATAGGATATATCTATCATACAATCTGACCGATCAAAATCTAGTCCTTCTATGGAAAACTTTTTTATTGGACAAGATATCTTTACGAAATTTAACATCTGTAGATTATAGCTGAAGTCAATATTAAAATCTCTGAACATTGACGGATCAGCATAAATTTTCCGCAGCATCACTTTTATATGCAAAACCACCCTATTTATATATATATCTATGTATGGTAAATATTAATATCTGGACATATACTCATACATCTACGTCACCATGTGCGTAAGCACTTTTCTATTCCCTCTAATTTCCAGTTAACTTCAACAAAAATTTCAAACTTTTAACACTTTTGCAAAATGCGTTTGCTTGTTATCGCTCACAAGTGCTTTTGAATAGTGAAAATAATTCCGAACAAAAAAACCAAAAGAAAAAAAAAAAAAAATTAAAGCAAACTTTTCCCCTTAGAACAATGCAAAAGTTATCAAGAAATGCGAAATTTAAGTGCCGCGTAAAATTCTTGTGAATAGCTTGTTCCGGAAATTATTCGACACTTGAGCTGTTCGAGTGCCATTTCAAGTTCTTGGTTGGAGAGCACTTTTCTTGTTTACTATGTATGTTTATTAGAGCATAAGAGCGATTTCCTTTGAAGGTGTTCTCGTATTAAAAACACGTTTTTCATTATATTTGGCGGAAAGCAATTTGAGATTACTATTAATTTTTAGTTTTTCTTTTTATAGAATCGGAGTCGACTTTTCAATACCTGGCTCAATGACGACAGATAATAGCGAAATTTATTTTAGTAACGGGTATTCATTTACTGACCTTCTTATACAATAAAGGATTAAACAGGAAGCCTTTGTCGTCTTTAGTACCCTCAATTTGGCATTCTAGAATAAGTTTCATGACTTTTTTAACACAATTATTTTAAAATACAATAAAACAGAGCTTTTTAATCGATTATTTATTTAGTTGAATTGTATGTCTACTTTTTGACTATAGTGACTTCTGACATAAGGATTGTTCAGTTTACCTAACAACAAAACTTAACCTAATAGTGGCTTTTTTGATACTTATTGACATACTTGATAGTTTAATTACTTCGAAGGTCCCTAGATCCAAAGATATGGGTATATGGAGAACCAAAAATTCTTAACTTCGACTCCATTTCTGCTTATACCGATCACAACCTTCCCATGTAAACACCTATTGATTGAGAGCACAAGGAGCGATATGCAAGCTTCGTCCTAAATGGTTCGAAATTCAATAGAGATATGATTGGAGGAGGTAAGCTCCCTATAAGCTCCCTATAAGCTTTAATATGAACTCTCACTCAAAAAGTTAGTCGCAATTAGCAATTGTTTTTTTTCTCTAAAGGATTTAATATGTAGTTCAACTGTATATTAAATTGGGAAATAAATAAATAAGAGGAACACTTCACATCTTGAAGATTCCGAGTTGTTTGTGTAGCACACATTTTTTGGGTTGTAAGTGGTGAACATACCAAGGGTTTTTACTTTTGAGAAAAAGAGTATTGAGTAATATGGTTGAACATATATTATATAACATATCACAGGTCAGCAAATTGGAGAATAGTGAAACCAATCTATTGAGACGAAATATCTACACATCTTTCAATGTTCCAATCTAACAATTCTGGGCAGCTAAATGTTGAAGGATAAATATAAATATTTTAAGAACACATAGTAAAATTTGTGAAAGTTTCACGCAATTTTGACGGCGCAAAAAAATAAAGCACCTCCATTGCTGCTGCAGTGATTTTGTGATTTAAAAAAAAGTAGAATTTTATCCAAAATTTAGAACGTTTTTGGTCTGCCGAAAAATCAAAAAACTATAAACTCTAAATACTGAACTGATTGACTACACTTAAGAAGGCGTCAACTCAAAAACTATTTGAGATATCGATTAGTATGTAATATTTAAAGGTATAACCTATCGAAATAAGAACAATCGATTTATTTTTTCAATTTCACTCTAATGCCTCATGCTTAAAGGGTTATACATATTTCCAGCTTACATATATTTGAGAGAATTCTCCGAATATATTCTTTGAAGTTCATCCAGCAAATAGTTTTGATGTAAGAATATTTGTAAGAAGTTTTCAATATAGTGTAATCGGCTCCCAAAATTTTGAAAGGGGGTTTCTCTAAATGATGTTATCAAATTCTGAGGAAAAAAATTCTCCGAAACGGCTAGACCAATCGACTTGAATTTTTTACACGACTTTCTAAGATATAAAGGGTCTACCAACAAGAACGACGTGATGTTAAAATGAAATAAAACACTTAAATTTGATTACAATAGATTCTGTTTGTTTTTGTTATGCAGATAATTTTTTGCCATTTATGATTTGAACAAAAATGTCGGCCTAATAGCCACCACGGCTCCGTTTGCATATCTCCACCCGTTTACGTCAATTCGTCTTCGAGCTCCTCGAGCGTTGCTGGGTGATTGGCGTAAGTCTTTGATTTAACATACTGCCAGAGAAAATAATCTATAGGCGTTAAATCGCATGATCTTGGCGGCCATTTGAATGGACCATTTCTCGAAATTAACGAGTTGCTAAATTTTGCACGCAATGTGTCCAGAAAAATCTTCCTCTCCGCAAGAAATCATTTTCAGCTCTCATAGATTGGCTACGGGATCAAGCGAATTCAAAAATGTGGCGGTCTGCGGTCAAGCGTTATTTCGACCTCCTTTTTCGATTAACCAATCAACTCACAGATTTATACCGAACTTGGAATACATTACCAATAATTATATGTACCATATAGGAGTTTCTTTCCTGATCTGATTTGTTGTTCCACGGAAAAAAGTAGTCTAGCCTAAAAATTTTAAAATTTTTTGTTTCACACATTAAACCAAAATGGTCTAAATATTTCTTAAAATCTTCTTTCTTTCAGTTAATTTACAAATACATTGGAGCCTAGAGCAAACAATCTAATAGTGAAATTAAGGTGAGTTACAAAATGTTACTGGTTTCATAATAATAATTAATATCAAAAAAAAAAACTTCGCTTCCGCACCTCTAGAACACTACCGTCATTGAGGCATAGTTTTTTGCCTCTAAATTCTACTTTCCATATTTTGTGCAATTACTTTCCAGAATCAAACAGTTGCAATATGAGGTTACTGAACTTCATACATACAAATATATATACATGGGCTTCCATTCAATCGCTGCGTGTGGTTGCATGCCTCATTGACGTGCTCAAAGGAAGCAATCGCTCGCAAATGGTGCATGCATAAAAAAAACGCATAAAGTCATCACAAACACATTCACATGTATGCCCATCAACTATTTATGTTTATTTCTTCTGTTCTCCGCGTGCATGTGTTTGTGTGTAAAGCTGTTTGTGTACAACTCTGCGTGCTCATATGCGTATAAATATTTGCTGTGCGTAAGCTCGAGCAACTTTGCCACTTTTCGCATGTCTGCTTCCTTCCTCACTTGCACACAATAGCAACAACAACAACAACACCACTGTTGTTGCTGCTATATGATTTGCCTTTGTTTAAAACAAATGAAGCATAAAGCCGCCGAACTCGAAGTCAAATTAGCTTCATTAACAATCGGCGATGCTGCTTTAGTCTCTTTGGGAAAATGCGAAAAGTGTGATTCATTTATTAATGCGCTAATGTGAGTTGTGTGGTTCTTTCTTTGTTTGTATGCTCTCGAGTTGAATTTCAATGAGTTAAGTAAGCGATCAGTCTTTATCTCGTTTAGCCACTTCTGCTCTGAGTTCGTTAGATTGAATATCGTACAATTAAAGTGAATACGTAGCGAAAACAGTGTTGAAGTATTTGTCGCCATAGGTTTAAACAATGCTTACCAGACTTATGAGCATATTATTGTATTTATATAAATTTTGTCCAAATTACTCATATAAGTCTAACAACAATTAAAGCTTTTCCCACTTTCTACTTATAAAAAATGTGGCGTGCTATCTATCTTACTTATACATATACTTGTAAAAGATCTAGTAAAAATAAATGTTTGCATCAAATCGAAGGTTTTGTTTAGCATAGTTCGATTCATCCAATTTTTGTAAAATATGCACCATTTTGTCCGATAACTTGTTGTTATTTTAAAGATGATTAGTAGACTAGGTGACAAGTTCGGACTGTAAGGTGCCTCCCAACTAAGCTCAGGTGAGTAACTAACGATATGAGTGGCCCAGCGTAGTTCTCTCTTATTGGCCAAAGCTGGCCGCTTCTTGCCGATTGCTTCTCTTAGATGATCCAATTGTGGGCAGTACAGATCTGAGCTAAGAGTTTGGCCGTAGCGGATCAGCTCATAGTAGAGATTTCCTCCAATCCTACTAAAGACATAGCCAAACCTTCCTGACCGTCAATCCTGGTTTGACCAGCGTTTGCGCCAGCAATTCATCCACGACCGTTTGCACTTGACGTTGTTGTCAGTGACCCACTTTTCATTGCCAGTAACGATTCAGAATAAGATCGACTTTGTTGCGATTTAGTAGCGTTCCGCAGAGGGAAATTCAGTCTATGAGGTTTTTTGCGTCAGCTCGTGTGGCACCCTTATATCGAGTTTTTTTTTTTTTGCATTCAGCCTTATTTCAATGATTCCAAACAGTTGTTTGTGCTTTCAGAAGCGTGCTGCATCTTTTACATACAAATTACTGGAACGAAAACGGCGAAAACAAACAATACGAAATAACGAAATTTTATATTATATTTCTAACGCCATATACACTAATTATACAATGCGAGAGCCATTTATTGGAATATTAATGGATTTCTTCTTACTTTAGTTTATATTTAGAATTCGTTTCTTGTCCTTAGTTTAAGTGATAAGCTTCAAGGGAATCTAATCAAGAACACTACTACATCAACTGGATTTTAGGTAAAAAATTGTGAGACCTTTCGAATAGGAGAGCAAGGGAAGCAGTAAAATCGTATTGGTTCCGCTTCTTCGCTTTATTTTGAGTAATTTTTTGACTTCTTCTTTCTCAACTATATTTCTGGTAATAGATTTAAAATTTAAACTTAAGACTGAGAGGCATTGTTGATAGAATGCTATTATACCTTAATTATTTTGTTAAATGCTGCCATGTTGACAGTTCTTGATCGTGTAATCATCCGGTCTGTTTCATTTAGTAGACTCAACTGATCTTGATTCACAGCTCTGTTGAGTTTTATGGAGATTCTAAACTCATAAATAACCCCATAAAGGCAAAACTTTGTGCCACTCTGCTTTCCCGGTCATCTTAGAGGTTTAGTAATTTTTACGGGTTTCATGTGCTATTGGTAAGGTCTAGAGTATCCACTGATAATTTTTCTTTGATAGAGAGTAGACAGTTGTTTTTAACCACTGATCTTATCTTAATTCGTATCTTGGGTTTCAAAATTGTATGTTGGTATAAAACTGGGAGAGCCGGTTTTTCCTACTTTTAGAAAATTGTGATGGCTCATTTAAAATACTCTGTGCCCATAATCTCCTATGATACTATTTTTAGCTCAAATTACCAAGACGTAATACTGATGTGAATTTTAGCCAATAAAGTTTACATCACATCGATATTTTAAAGAAGTTAGACCAGTCTAAGTTTTTTGAAACACTTATTATAATTAGTTTTTTCAACTTAAACTACAATTCAGGGTCCCTAAATATAAGTAACTTTTAACAAAAATATATTTCCCTCTTCACTCTGCTGTGATACGGAAGTGTTCGGATCAGGCAACTTCAGCGTGTAAAACTTTGAACGTGTTTTTTTTGAAAATGCATTTTTCAAATCGAACGACGAAGGTACTCAGAAACTTCGCACATATCCACTTAAAGTTTTTACTGTGGCCTTACAGCAATACTATCTAGTAAATTGTATGTAGAGCCACTATTTTGTATAAAAATTTCTATAAAAAATTTTATGCTCTCAAATACATGTTCAAGAGGAAAATTCGGTGCCTTTTTCTTTACTCTTCGAATAAATTGTCTAAGTTAGGATTTTTAGAGTTGACTACATTAACCCAACACCTTAATACTTTGAGTGTCAAAATATTCTCTCTCTTTTTCTGTGATATAACTTGTTCAATCTAATCACTGCTATTACTATTTATAAGTGTACGCCTGATCTTTTATGGTATCCTACATGAACCGGCAGGTAATACGGAATTTTTTCAGAATGCGTTAAGTTCGTTATTATATCAGAAGGCCGCTATGTGGAAAAGTTTAGTTCAGTACGACTCTTTCTGGAAGCAACGTCATAAATTGATTGACTATTGTGATATAAATATGTGTATACCCTTTATTCAGTTCGCCACGAAGTTTGTCCTGATCTGATACCTGCACGAAATCCTTAAGGATTATTAGTCAGGGCTATAAGGAATGAAGGGTATTATAGCATTGCTGCAACCGAAGTTAACGGTTTTTGTTGTTTTTATTTCAAGATATCTTTAAGTATTACGGTTTGCTTTTTATAAATTACTAAAATACGAAAAACTAAGGATTTAAAAGACAAATCTTTCTACTCTATCATTAACTGTAAAACTATTGCGAATTTAAAATTACGCAAAATATTTTTGTCAGCTCATGCTCCATTCATTTAAATCCGTGGACCATAGCTAACAAGTAGGTCATTGACTTGCCATTCGATTTTGAAATAACTATCATACATTGTATCTTATTATTTTGATTCCATTGATTTTATTAACGCTTTGCTGACACAAAATTAGCACTTTATTTAAGGTAGCCATAATTCCTGGCTAACTTTCAGCCAGCAGGTGCAGTTAATACTCATTAACGCCATTTAAGCGAGCATGGTGTACTATTGGTGGCTTATTGTTCTCTGCCACATATATGTATGTATGAGTATGTATGTATATATTCATTATATATATATATAAAACATATCTATGTTATTTGTATACATGCGAGTATTTTATATACGCTTACACTTTAATTGTCATTAGGGTCAGCGGGTGTAAAAAGTGTGACGTGAAATGGCAGAATTTGCACATATGGTCGGACAACAACAACAACAAATCCATAAAAAGAATTCTCACATATGCTTTCAGTCACAAGTCATCAATCCCTGACCATTCGGATATGTCACAAAACGCATATTTTTGCACTCTCCCCACCACTACCACCCCCACTGTCCTACTGCGTCGTTTAATCACACCAACATATGTGCTGTTGGCAATTCATCAACCTTAATTAGCATTTGTCACGCTGTTAGGCTATACAAGACTGCTGTTGCTGTTGCTGACACCACTGACCAGTCATATTATTAAAGATATTTGGTTTTTGTTTGGTCAGCAGTGGTCACCCGCTACACAGAAAAATTCATTATTTCTCTCCTTCCCGCTTCCTCCCTATTTTTCACTCTCGTTCTCACGTCTCACTCTCATTCTCTCCCTCTATTTCTCATTCTAGCAAAGTAAAGTTCTCATTAAAGAAATAGTACCGTTATTTTAATAGTTAGCTTAACTACACATCAGCTGTGCGGGTCTTGCACTCAGCGCCATCACTCATAAACTGCTCATCACATTTTGCTCTATTGGCTTACTTTTAACACCACTATTCACCTATATACCCCATATGTATATCTATAAATACATATACCATACATATATGTTTATACTATTATATATTTACTTAGTTAACTTTTTCAGCTTTTCTTTCCATTCCACTGGGACTTAGTTGTGGCATATTTTCTTGGTTTGCCCTTAACACCATTTAATTTCCCTTTATCTGCAATCACCTTCTTTCACTTTTGCTTTATGAACATACATGCATACATATGAATATATAACAATTCATACCTGCATTGACAATGACTTTTAAAATCACTCTACGTGCTTAGTTACTTAAGTATCTGCATAAGTATGTAAGTAGGTGCGCATTGCAGTTGACTGACCCTTAGGTGTTCTAATTTTGCTAGGGAACATTGTGTTTGTTGGCATTGCTTTTTGAAAGTTACGCTCAGTTAACGGT